TTTGGTGAGTAGGGGAGAGAGAGAGGGAAGAGGGAGAGAGGTGGAGGTGGAGGAAAGGTGAAGAGGGAGAGACGTGAAGTTTGGAAGAGAAAAGAGAAGAGCAAAAAAAAGGTAGGATGTGGGCGGTGGCTGCTTCTACTGGCAGTCTCTGCTGGCTGCTTCCATGTCACAAAGGAGGGACAAGGCCAGGCCCAAAAGACCAGTGGAATGGAGCTGGTCTCTGTTGAAGGAAGTGGAGCCACTGAGGTCGATTCTGCTAGGTGCACGCTGCTCTGATGGGGGCTGCCCGTTGCATCTATGGATGTAATACTCCGTAATATGGGCTAGCGGGCGGCTCCAGCTCCATCAGTGAACTTGTTCCCGACGCGAGCCCTATTCAGGCTACAGCGTACCTTGGGTACAGCACCAAGGTACTCACTCGCACATACCTCTCCGTCCCCTGTGGCTCGCATTTTTTTACCTACCGGCCTACAGGCTACGTGCCATGCGCATGCGTGCTTGCCGAACGTTGCTGTTCTGATACTGTCCAACAGTACGGTGGGTGTAGTAGGAGTACTCCAAGCACTGGTAGTTGCCCGTTACGAGTAGCAGCAGTGATACCTATGATGGATTAAAGGGACACCGGTCAGTAATACCTCGAAGGGAGTGAAGAGGATGGTCAACCCACGTGCACACGCACATAACCCTGGGCTACGATGCTGGTGCTTCTACTTGGGTAACACAACAGACGTGACTTCTTCTAGGTCTGCATCGTAAATCCGAACTGCGGCACCAGCACCTGGTCCCTGACTTTTTCCCTTTTTTTTTCTCTTCCCTACCCCTCCCCGCACCAATCTCCCCCCACCACGGCACTCCTATTCAAAATCTAGCAAGCTCGTCACCAACCTTTACATTCTCTGGCACCCCTCGACTTTCCATAGCAGTGCAAGCTTTAGCAGGAGGGGGCGATAGTGATGCCCTCTTCTCCTCCAATCCTGCTCCTCCGTAATATCGGGTACAGCTATCCGGGGACAGGGTGTTCTTGGTGTCTAGATTGTTACAACTTTGGCTATCCATGTGTGCATACCTGCATATATATACATGTATATCATTCTGCTGTCCGCACCAGGGCCAATGGCGTCCCCGAAGTTGTCGACTGTCGAGTAGTTGTCCGCTTCGACTCCTCATGTTGAGAGAGAGTTTCGCTTGCCTGCTGCAAAGATACGACATATGGCATGATACAATATCGGTAGGTGACACGCGTACGACTGTAAGGCCTTTCCTTTCAAGCACGGAGAGGGAGAGAGAGGTGGAGGTGGAAGAGAGAGTGGGGGGGGGGGGGGGGGGGGGGAGAGACACTGTCGGCTCCAAACACGTTCACATCACCAACTCCAATCCTATGATACTTGTAGTATGATACTAGTAGTANAGGTGACACGCGTACGACTGTAAGGCCTTTCCTTTCAAGCACGGAGAGGGAGAGAGAGGTGGAGGTGGAAGAGAGAGTGGGGGGGGGGGGGGGGGTGGAGGCTATGTTTTCTTCTGTTTGGTTCGTCATGATATGAAGAAAAGAAAACGTGGACAAGTTGCTGGAAGGGGTGACGTACGAAGAACACAGGAATGATATTGTCATGTTCACGACATGGTTCATGCTAGGAATACCAGTATATGCAGATAGAAACACTCAGTCTACTGCAGGTGCCCTTCACCTCTGCCGTAGCGTCCGCTCATGCTGTATCCAAAAGTTCTTGCAGGCCCTATGACCCCAGTGATCAACCCACCACTCGCCAAAGCTATCCTCGACATCGACGTCGACCTTGGCCACCCTCTCGTCTCGCTTGAGACCGCATATGACGCAGGGCTTAGGTGCCGTAGGCACGAGTTTCGCCGTGTGAACCGCCATGTTTTCTCCCATCTCGGGCACCGTGAGCGCCGGCCCATCGCCCCCTCTGCCGGATGACTTGGCCGCGGCGACGGCCGACCGCACGGGACCGACGCGCTCGCGCCACACGGCCACCACGTCGGCCGCCTCCCTGTCCTCGCGCACCGACTGCGTCTTATCCACACCCGCCAACTTCATCCCCTTGCTCCCCGCCGCCGAGATGGACATGCTCTTGGCCAGGATCTTGTCCCGGTGCCACCGGTGCTTGCGGCCCGCAATCACACGCGCTGCCGTCGTCGCCATGACCAGGTACGCGCGGAGGAACTCGACCGTTTTGGGCTCCGAGATGATGCGCTGCTTGATGGACGTGTTCCGGCCTGCCATGGGCTTGAAGAGCGGGCTACCGCTTCCCAGGAGGGCCGGGAAGGCCGACAGCAATACCGACGGTGGCGGGACGTTGACGGGCGGCGGCTCGTCGTCGCGCAACCCGTCCGGTTGCGAGGCCGTGGCCGTAGTCGTGGAACTGTCCGCGGCTTCCCACGCCCAACTATCCTCGGCTGATCTCAGCTCCTCGGCCTTGTATCCAGACTTTCCCGCTGCCGTCGGTCCTGGCTCGAAGTCATCCCAAGCCGACCATTCGTCCTCCTCCATTATGGGACTCTTTGCCGGCACAGTTTTCCTGTTGACAGAGAGTTCCTGCTTTGGCGGGTTTTGGGCTTTGGCCCTGGCTGTGGATGCTGTTGCGCCGAAGCTTCGAGGCTTGCCAGCCGTCGATGAAAGCTGCGAGGATCCCTTGGGCGTCTCGCTCACTGTCACATCGTCCAAAGAGAGCAGGTCCACGGATGGAGGCGGCGGCGGTGCCGGCTGCAGCTTCTTCTGTACGGCCGGCGTTTGCTGCTGCGGCTGCACAGGCTCACCAGTCTCGAAGTCTCCAAAGTCATCGTCCCCCTCGCCTTCGTCGCCTTCACCGCCCTCAAGCTCGAAGTCGTCGACGTCAAAGATGACATTGGGGTTGCTCGGCTCCTTCAGTCTCGAGTGGGACTTGGACTGGGCGGGGGGGTATCTCATGTTCTTCTCCTGCTCGTAGGCTGAGGTTGCCATCGCCGCGCTGTTACCCCCAAAACCCCCGATGTCCACCAGACTGTTGCTCATGATGTCCAACGTGGAAGCGCGCACCATCCTGTTTGGCGGCATGGCCCTCTGCGCAGCCTGTTGGCTTGACCCAGCATTTGACAGCGCTGCCAACGGAACCGGCTGCTGCTGCGGCCGCGGTGCCGGTGGACCGGGAGCCGCCACCGGCTCCGCTACCTCAAAATCGCCCCATCCGTCGTCGTCGTCATCGACAATAGGCTGCGTTTGGGAGTCGCTAAATGACGGCCAGCCGGTACTGAAGCTGCCTTTCTGAGGCGAATCAATGGGCGAGTAGGAATCCCCCCATGGGTCGTACTCCTGTTTCTGCTTTCGCTTCTGCTGCTCCTGTTGCTGCTGCCATTGCTGCTGCTGCTGCTGCTGCTGCTGTTGTTGTTGTTGTTTCTGCGGGGGCGGTAGGCTAGACAGATTGTTGAATTCAGCAAACAAGTCGGCAGACATGTTGACACGCTTGACACTACATGCTTTATGCGGCTTGAAATTAAGACGCTGCCAGCAATACTGGTGCCCGGTCGAGATTTGGGTGAGTAATTGGGGAGATGTTTAGGGGCAGGTGGAGGTAAGATGTGCGGGATTGAGGGACGATACGCCGAGTGGGGATGAAGGTCGGTCGCCAGCCTCCAACCGTGGATATTACCCCTCCAAACAGTCAGAGACCCGACAGAGGCGATACGACGTAATTCGAACGCAGGACTGATGCTACAAGTGCCGCACGCGTATCGCATGTACGTGCATGTAATCGCATATTTCACGTACAGGTAGGCTATCACGCATTTTACAGAGCTACCGCTCATAATAGGCTATGATTCCAGTGAGAGAAAGTATATGCATACATGTTGACTACATAGCTGGTACAATGCAATGGCCCCGCGACTTGCGAGGATGAATCAAAGCAGGCAACAAATAGAGGCAATCAGTGTGGCCGTGGGTAGGAGTACCAAAACGGATGATAACACCATAACACAGCCAATTCACTCAAAGGCGGGTCGCATGCTGTTCGGTGTTTAAGTTCTTGTTAATCCCATTGAACTCGCCGAACTCGACACTCTCATGGACGAGTTCAGCTTACCTAATGCATGCCACGTGCGTTTCTTCCATAACAACTCCCTTCTGGTATTGGGCCCTGTGATACGCTGCATCTTCTGGTTGCTTTCCTCGGCCTGCACCTGCCAGACAACGAGTCAGATTGGAGGAGGGAGTAGGGAGCATTTGAGATGAGTGACAAGGTCTGCGTATAGAAACGAGGCAGAAGCGTTATAGCGATGAAGGCACCAGCGACCAATGTATGATGTGTATTAATCGTTGCCCTCCTCCTTGACGGAATCGGGGTCAGTGACTTTTAGGTCTAATCGCATTACCCGTTGTGTCCCTCCATTCCACGCCATGTTGCTCTTGCGCCAGTCCTCGTCGTTAAGGCCTGCTTGACTGAGTTCTAGCCATATGCGGTCGATCTCCCCCGGGAGCATCTTCTTCATGTCTTCGCTGGTGTCAGGCTTGGTCAGTACCTCGCCGGCCCGTGAGAGGAGAAGCAATATTCGCGGGCGGGATGGGCCATGCCGAGACCAATTGGGATGTGCGTCCCTTGAAAATGCTCCAGTGCTTTGTAGTTGCTGGCCTTCGCAGTCATGCGACCGCGGAATCCATCCAGCATCCCCTTAGCAGCAAGGGTGTACCCGTGACGCCGTACATGTGATTGACCATAATAATACTCGTAAGGAAGGTTGAACTTCAGTGAGGTATACGGATATATTATGTAATTGGGTATCCCAGCCACGCCATTTTAGACATCGGACAAGAGCCACAGAAGCCACAGAAGCCTCAAGGAACCATTAATTATGACGCACGAAAAGTCCTGGAAGCAAGGTCGTAGATACCGAAGCATGAAGAGAGAAAGAGGTGGGAGAGAAGCAAGGCAGAGAGAAGAAGAAGGAGAGTCGGAGATGAATGATCGCACAAAGTCACCCCATACAGCTTGATTGTCCCTTCGTTGTGAGACTTCTTCACTTTCTTCACAAGTCCATTATACGTTTCTGACATTCACCCACCGGGAGAATATGTTGTCCGTGCCGACGCTTGTCTTGATGAACGACCCTTTTGATCTCGCTCAGGACTATGTCTGAGAGGACCCAGGCCGTCCGGTCATGGAAAGAGCTTTGCATACCCATGCATCACCATCTCCTGCACTATTAGCTCTTAGGCTTGGACAGGGGAATAACTTGATGGTGCGAAGGAAGGTGTAGTAGGGCTTGGAAAGACGGGTAAGGTGTACCTAAGAAGAACAGTACACAGCCTCACTTCCACGAAAGTTCATGTGTCCCTGTACAGGTGTAATCTGTACGATATTGTGTATCTACCACCGCCACATCATTTCCCTCGTTCTCTCGGTCCTCGTTTCGTGCTAGCAACCCATGGGCCGTATAATCATTCGTGCCAGCTTAGTGGGGCGGCTATGGCCCAGGACCTTGCATGCCGCTGTGCTCCGCTGCCGCACCAAGGCCAACGCCGCGACCTTGACCCCATCGGACAACACACGCCATTCAACCTCGTCGCCCCTCCAAGCTTCCAGGCCATTACCCGTCCTCTCCCCACCAAAGGTAGACGGCTCCTCATCTCGATGGCCTGATGATGAGTAGAACATAGGATCTTTAAGCATATTCTGTTGGATTTTACGAGTATACCGTACCGCCATGAGATCCGTCGAGGAGATAGAGTCAGCATTCCTTATACCGCCTGTTGTTCTTGACTAACGTAACGCAGGGAGAGATGGCGGGCTGTGAAGCCATACATAGACAGCCATGCTGACCTTCGACGCTCTGTCAAGTCCGATGGGGCCTCGAATCCGTGCGTAGCTGGCCTTCGCTCAGTCTGCTGGAAGGTAAGAAGCCCTTCCTCCCCGGGCCGTTATCGCCAGGCCGTACCCCACCCACACGCGCGCGTACTGACCATACTGGCACGCTGCAGATCTTCCTCCTATCCAAGGATCAAGGCGATGGGTGGAAGACTGCGCTTCACCGCGGCAGAGATGATTACTCCAGGCGACGCGATGAGTTCCTCAAGTACATCAAACATCCCGAGGCTCTGGCTGAGTTAGCTGTCGACCCTCTGGCAGATGAGCCCAACGTGAGTCACCCTTGCTTCCTCCGATGGCTATCGATGGTTCCCAACAGCTGACTCGGAGGGAAAGTCGCCCTGGGACACGGCCCGGCACGACGGGGCTGTTCGCGCTGAGATTCAGCAAGATGTCCAGCGGTTGCCTGATGAAGTCAACTACCATGATGGCGGCATCCAAACATTGATTCTCGATGTCTTGTTTGTCTACTGCAAGTCCTACCCGGATCGCGGGGGCTATCGCCAGGGCATGCACGAGATTCTGGCGCCCATCGTCCATGTCCTCGAGACGGACAGCATCGATGCTACGGCGTCTGGCGGAGCTGCATCCGTTGACGAGGAGTTGGTGGAACTGGTTGATGCGTCGTTCCTCGAGCACGATGCCTACATCATATTTTCTTCCCTGATGGAGAACGCACAGTCGTTCTATGCCGTGGGCGACGCGGCTGCTAAGACCCAGCCTGGAGCAATGTCATCCCGAGAACAGCAAACGTCCTCGATAGTGGAACGGAGCAAGTTCATCCACGAAGTCTGCCTGCGAAAAGTTGACCCCGAGCTTGCATCGCATCTCATCAACGTCGAGATCCTCCCGCAGATATTCCTCATGTGCGTATAGTCTATCCGGTCCGTGGTTCTGGCCTTTTACGCTAACCGTGGCCAAGACGTTGGGTCCGGCTTCTATTCAGCAGGGAGTTTCCCTTCGAGCAAGTGCTGGTACTCTGGGACACAATACTGGCTGTCGACCCATCCTTGGAGCTTATAGACCTGATATGTGTGGCCATGTTGATCCGAATTCGCTGGCAGTGTAGGTTGCGATTCCCTTCTCCGCACAATCGTGTGTACTCTACGGCTACATCGTCTGACATGATGAACAGTGCTTGAGGCAGACTACTCGGTTTGCCTACAGCTTCTGCTCAAGTACCCACCTCCAAGCGGTCCGCTGGGGCCACACGAATTTGTGGATGACGCAGAATATTTGAGGAATCACCTGAATACAACGGGAGGTGCGACGCTGATTATGAAGCATACGGGGAAACTGCCCGGAGCAATCAAGACGCCCGAGCCATCGAGACCCTTGACGCCTAGCCTAGGTTCATTCAGTATCCTTCGCCAGCGGGCCATGGGTGCTAGGTCGCCGCTCAGCTCCCCAGCAGCTTTCATGAGCCAGCAAGGTGGCGTCGAAGCGCTGTTTCAGGGTGCAGCTAAGGGTGCCAAGGGGATGCTGGAGAGGGGTGAGAAGCTCGGGATCAACCAGGCGGTTAGGGACGCCATGGGAGAGTTCCGGCGGAATATGCAAGGTCTTGGTGAGGCTAGGAGCCCGCATCGCCTATCGGGAGAGGTTCTCGACAGCGACGGAGGGGCAGCGGCTCTGGCGGCCATGGAGAAACGCAATCAGCAACTGGCCATGATGCTAGATGACACGGTGACTAGCCTCAGGGCGATATCGGCGGCGGATTTCGAGGACAAGGAAACGAGCCTTGAGCAGATTGAGATTGCGGCCGCCAAATTGCAGTTTGTCAAGATATACTTGGAGGACTCCACATTGGATGTGCCAGCCATGCAGCCCGGTGACGAGGCGGCTCCCGACGCAGCGGAGGCATCGAGCAATGCAGAAGGGAAGAAGGAAGCAGACGGGCAGGGCACGGCGGATGAGGCTCAAGCTTCGTCGCCAAGTCTAGGCGATGATGCGCTTGATACCGATGCCAACGGCAACGCATCCCAACCGGCGAAGGAGACACCGGCCGAGGTCAAGCCAACTGCGGCGAGGACCATACCGATCAAAAGGGCAGCGCAGTCAAGGGCAGCGCAAGTGGCACGAGGCGCGGTACCAGAGACGACGGATGCGGCTGGAGGCTCTATATCGGCCGCGGCATCAAAAGCATCTGCGGCAGCGGGAAGCGGAGGTACAGCAGGCGTGGCATCGCCAACCGAGGAGGCCAAGACGACTGCAAGGTCGACGCTCGCACAATCGTCGTTCTCGTGGATGCTGGAACCAGACGAGCCGGTAGCGTCAGCGGCGTCGTCGGTGGGGAGTAAATCCGGCACGGTCAGCTCGCCGCCGGCAGCGACGCACAAGAAACGGTCGTCTAACGGGATAAGCCGCGAGAGAAACGCGTTCCTGTTCGGTGACGGGCCGTCCGAGTCAACGGGGCAGGATCCCCTAGGCAGGCGAGATGACCTGTTCAGCATGGAGCAGCTGGGCAAGAGGTAGTGGTGGTGGGCAGGACACGGGTGATTGGGAGTGCACAGCATGGAGGCCTGTAGATTCCCCAGGTGATACGGCAGTTTTAGTGTATGCATGATGTTCCATGGCGACGATGCAACGAATGCTGGTGAGCGTCGTGACTATTCTTAGTGCGTAACGACCCAAGCAAGCATCAACTCGTAGGCTTCTGGAGGAGCGGGAGCGTGGCGATGTCGAATCCCGGTTTTCGTGTAAGGTGGCTGTGCTCGTCACATGCTCACGCGACACGGTTCGATCAAAGACAAGCAAGACTTTGCGCGCAGCCAGTTGCGATTGCATGGGAGCGCTGTCGGGATTTGATAGTGGCAGTCTTCATTCAAGCTGCTATGAGTAGTACCCATACACAGAATCACAGTAGACAAGTCTGGTTAGGCTCATCGGCGCAACCTGTTACCAAGGTAGGAGGCTACAGGTAGGGCAGGCCGTCGTCGCATAACAGCAAGTGTGGCTTGATGCCAACGACAGTTTGCGCCACGTCAGTGATGCCATGCTTGTTGGCGGTGTTACGGGTATAAACGGCCGTCCGCGATTGGGTAGGATAGGCTACTAGTGACATCAACCTGGCAGCACCTGTACCTGTAACCTGTACAGATCACAGCGGTTGCAGTAGTAGGGGACAGAGGACAGAGGGGCCAGGAGAGATAAAGAAGACAGAAGGAGGGATTCTGTTCAAGTTTGGGCTTGGGGTATACAGATTACACGTACACGCATTACGACGTTGGAAGGGAGGCGTTCTTGTTTATTCATGAGCGTGTCGGAGCGTGTCGGAGCGTGTCGGAGCGTCGCAGCACGCGTAACTGCACGATCCGGCGAGAGTCTCGAGATTGATGACTCAAGGGAGCCCGGAGAGGCAATGGAAAATTAAAAGCCGGAGTGCGCTGTAAACCCTGTAATCTTGCATCGGGGCCACATGGCTGTCTCCGAGAATAAAGGGCGGTCGGTATTACATGTAATCTGTACGCGCGTGATGCTCGTACGATCTGTACTTGCAATGGCAATACGAAGTATCAATCCGTACACGTGCGGAGTATCACAGCATAATACATCGTCATCAACGTTTAATATTACATCACCTGCAACTGCTCCGTGGCTGTGGAAGAACGGAAGAGAGCCTTGTCGAGGGAAGAGCCTTGTCGAGGGAAGAGCCCTGTCGAGGGAAGAGCCCTATCAAGGGAAAGCCCTGCCAAGGAAAAGCAGTGAAACGAAAATCGGGGGGGACGGGGGTTTTTTTATTACTCGTGCGAGTACCGTGTAATACGTCGTACATATACGGGATCGGACCTGCCTACTCTGCACAGGTACAGGTACGAGCATCTGTAGTGTCCATACCGATCTGTACCTGAAAGTACAAAGTATCATGGATAGAAGCTGGAGAGTACGAGTGAATTGTAATCATGCTCGTACGGTCCGTATAATCCGAGGTTCAAGGCTGGACATTTCTTTTTTTTCTTTTTTTCTTTTCATGGTGAGAGCCGCATTTCTTTCCGTCACGCCCCTGGAAAATGCCGTTCTGTGCATGTATTACTCGACAAGAACAATGTGACATTGCCAGGACAATTCCCATCTCTCTCTCTCTCTCTCTTTCGGGAGGTCGGGGGAAGGACATGGTTTTTTGCCTGTCTTTCTCTGATTTCCACGGCAAGGATATTCACATTCCACAACTACGAGCTTCAGTACGGAGTATTGTAGCAGACATAGACATTTAGTACCGCGACCGGCTGACCCGTCATGACTATTCGTTTAGCAGCGTGATGCCCTTTCTGCCGCCACCCTCTTCTGCATCCATGTTTGATCATGGAACACGAAGGCGACAATGATGATGATGGTGATACGGTGATGATGACGCTTCTCTCTCTCTCTCTCCCTTCTGCTTTCTCTTCCTATAATGTCCGAGGTTGGCCAAGAGCCCGGAGCATCATTAGAACTTGAAAATGTCTGCAATGCAGCTCGTGTGGCCCAGGAATGAGGAACCTGGCCCAAGTAGCAACGGAAAACCCCTCATCTGGCACAGGCAGCACAGGTTCCTGGGCCTTTCTGTTTCAGAATCAACCCACCCCCCCCTTGGGGCCCTATCATGGACCGGGCTGGGGATCGTCGTCAGACCCGCTTCGGCTTAACGTACTAATACTTGTACGAGTGCGATTGTGCGTACGCCGTGGCCTGCCAAGGAGCATGAACATGAAAGGAACACGCATACGTAGCTGGTGACAGGGGTGTATGGGCACGCACCTCATCACTAGCCTTTTCTGTTCTTTCTTCTCGTGATGCGCGGATGGATGGCGGAGAACGTTGGGGTGTGTGTGTCTGTGTGTATGTGTTTATGTGTGAGAGCAGAAGGATGAGTGTGTGTGAGCAAGAGAGGGTTGAGAGTGGGAACATCTTTGACGACTGTCGGTATCCGTACTCCGTAGTATTGTTTTAAAGAAAAAAAAAATATTCCATACCCAGAGCTGAAATTCCTCATACCAGTCAGCCCTTGAATACCAAACCTACTTGGCCTTACCAGCATTTCTTCTTTTTCCCTTTCTTTTCTGGCCTCCTCTCTCTCTCTCGCTCGCTCGCTCTTTCTTTTGCTGTCATCCTCCTTTCCCTATTTTTCCTTTCTTTCTTCCCCCTCGGAGGAAAAGAGAAGAAAGAAACACCAGAAATGGTCGCCACAGTCTGACATCACCAGCAACATCCTTGCGCGAGCCCATCTTGGATCAACGTCACCGACCACGACACAGGCGGGCGTCCGCGTCCGTGTTTTACTGCAAACCTACTCCCGGGACACGACACCTCATGTCTACCCCGGGTGATACCATCTTCCTCTCTACCTCTAGGCTCTCACCGATAGCCACCACCCCCCTCCTTCCCCTGTTGTGATACAGTGGTGATACACACGATACACTAGACGTCGCCTCCGTGGGAGATCATGCTACCACCCGCCAGCTCCCTGACTGTGCCCAAGGCGCGCGGGAGGTCGCGCTTCTCCAAGGCCCTCCCCGCCGTGCCTACGGGAGAGGAGGATTCGTCCGACGACGATGCGCCGATGGTGACACCACCAGAGACCATGAACTCTCGTACTCCCCCACTTCTTTCCTTGCCTCATGCGACGACCCCGACCGGGACAGTCACGACCAACCCCTCCACTCCCACCACTGCACCTTATCCTCGCCCGCGTCCATCGCCAATCATCCTCGCGACCCCTACAACTGCCACGACCGCGACGAGTACGAGTGGCACGGGTAGTCCAGGTACCGGTGACAATATCCCTGACAACCTCCCCGCCCCGCCTCCCCTACGAGACGAGGGCCCCAGGGCCCCCATTCAGCTGACGCCGCTGCCGCCGCTGCCGGTGGGCAAGTCCCGCGTCGCCGCCGCCGCCATCAATGCTGGTATTACCAATACCAATGCCGGCAGCCCGGCCTCTGCCACTGCTGCTGCTGCCTTGCCGGTCTCGACCTCAAACTCGCCTCCTCTTTCACACACTTCGAGTCCACCAAAAATGGCCATAAGGAGAAGGCCTGTGGCCGCGAATATACACAACATACTCGCAAAGCCACCGGGAGACGAGGACGAGGACAGCGAGGCCAAGGGTTGGAGAGAAGCTATACTCGCCATAGGAAAGGAATCGTCGCCGGTTCAGGAATCACTCCCGTCGCTGCCGTCGCTGCCGTCGCTGCCATCGCTGCCATCGCTGCCATCGCTGCCATCACTAGCGTCGCAGTCGCCTCCGAGGTTGCAGCTGGTGACGCAGAATATCGACTTGAAGGAGCCCGAACAAGACCCCACCCCGCCACTGGTACCCCCCAGATCGGGGAATCGTACGCCTCGCACTCCCATCTACGAGACAGCCCAGCAGCCTCAGGAAGGACTCCCACCGAGACGGGAGCAGAAAGAACGGCAGGAACGAGGAGAGGAGCAGGGTGAAGAGGAAGACGAGGACGAGGACGAGGACGAGGACGAAGAAGACGACTTTCACACTGCCAGGATTACGCGCAGCTCTAAACCCCCCCAACTCAAGCCACTGTCCTGGATCGACTCGCCCCAGCCATTCCAATTTTCCATGAAATCCCCATCGGAGTCGCTGTCGAGCATCCTGTCGGCCTACTCGCGGAGCTCCACGGCCTCTGTTGTACGGTCGTCCGACGGGACGGCCTACAGCGCATCCGAGTCACGACCCATCGAGCCGCCCGCCCACGAGACCGAGGACGTCGACGGGCAGGGTCCGAATCCTTCTGCCTCCGCCTCCGCCTCTGCCGCAGTCGCCGCACCGACATCGACGACAGCAGCAGCAGTGACATCACCATCCCCACCCACAGCCGGCGCGGAATCGAAGAGGGCCGGTGTGATAGGAATATCAGCCGTAGCTGGCGCAGCAGCTGCGGCAGGCGCAGCGGCAGCCGTCACCGGTCCCCAGTCAAGCACAGTCACCGACATCAGCAGCCCCGACACCCATAGGAGTCCGTCCAAGGATATATTCACGTCCAGCCCCGCCAGCAGGAAGCTGCCTGGACTCATCAAGCGCAAGCCCGCGCCTAACCAGAGGTTGGCCGAACCCGCGCCATCCGAGACCACGCCGGCGCTGCCCCCCAAGGACAATAACGACACCCCGCCACTGCGCCCTCCTGTCCCCTCCAAGGACGACGGCGGCGCCCTCCCTCGGGCCCCAGCCGTGCCCTCCAAGGACGACAACGACAACGACAATTCCAGAGCCGCCGCCGCCGCCGCAGCTGCTGCTGCTACTTTCCCGCTCGAGCGCGCCGCTCCGACGCCGACGCAGTCGCCGACGCGCAGAGAGATTTGGCGTCGCCGCTCTAACAAGGGCAGCCGCGAACTCCCCGGTCTCCGCCTAGGATACAGCCACGGGTCGACCGCGTCGACCGCGTCTGCGGCATCCAGCATCGCCAGCACCGCCACGATTACCAGCCAGAAGCCCCTACCGCCCACCAAAGACGCGTCATCGTCAGCACCGTCGCGGAGCAACGACAGGAACAACAACCAGGCCCCCACGACGGGCACCGTCCTGTCCGCCCAGGAGGACGAGTCAGCCCCGCCCCAGCCGCCTTCCAAGGATGACAGCCCCGCCATGGGTCATGGGACTTCGAAACTGAAGCAGTTCACGTCCAAATTCCACATCTCACGGCCTTCGAAGGATACAACCACCAGCAGCACCAGGTCCAGCAGGTCCAACCAGGTTGAGACGCATAAGCAGCAGCAGCAGCAGCAGCAGCAGCAGCAGCAGTCGCCAGCACCCGCACGTGCACCGCTCTCGGCCCCGGTGCCGCCCTACCGGCCCCCGACTCCCGAGTACCGCGAGGACGAGATCGAGGCTGAAGAACTCCCCGCTGAGCCCCCCGTCGTCGTCGCCACCATTGCGTCCCCGGCCCACTACTCCCCCGAGACGTCTGACGCCGAGGGTCCCTCCGGCAACGGCGGCAAGCTCTTACCCGAACCCCCCACGGAGCAGCGAGCCCCGGCAGCCTCCCCGTCCGCCGTCTCTCCGTCTGCCGTCTCTCCGTCGTCGGCCCTTTCTCCGGGCCAGATGCGCCTCAGGACCGCCGGCCCGTTGTCCGCGCCCCCGCAGGCTAGCCTGCCCGAGCTGCCTCCCCTATCAGCAGCAGCGCCTCCTCTATCGGCGGCAACAGCGCCGCCGCCACCGCCCGAGATGATGCGTCCGCCGTCGGCCCAGTCGGGCAGGTCCTCACCCGCGCCCGGGTCAGACATGATTCCCAGACAGGCGGCCCGCACTCCGGGCCTACGCGGCCCACCACCCTACATGGGTCAGCAGCCGCCATCGGGACGCAGCTCCCCCGCCTTGATGGACATGCCTCCCCCCACGCGTGGTCGTCAGCCCGGTACGCCGGTCGGGTACCCGTCATCGCGCGCCTCCTCAGCAGCCCGGCCCGGCTCGCGCGGCTCGGTGCGTCCACGCGTGGGCACAGCAGGAGGGGGGGGGCCGCGCTCGTCGTCCCGCCCCAACTCAGAGGTGCGCTGGGTGCAGACCTCGACGGGCGAGATGCTCTACCGTGGCCGCGACGGAACGTTATACCCGGAGATGAAGGAGCCGGAGGGCGATCCCGACCCGGCGGCCTTGCGGTTTCCGATGCCCAAGAACACCGCCGTATCGGCCGTCGACGGCTCTACCGTGTTCAAGCCCGTCCCCCTGGCCGCCTCGCACTTCACATGCTACCAGAGGCACGCGTCCATGCTGCGCAGGCAGAACAGGCGGTACCCGCTTGCCTGCCAGACGTGCGACAGGGCGGACACGGAAGACCGGTTCTCGTGCGGGTTCTGCCACCTCCGGATCTGCCAGTCCTGTCTCCGCCTGTTCAACGAGAAGGGCAGGGATCTGAAGGCCCTCGTGGACGGGGTTGCCGCATCTGGCTCCTCTAACCAGGGGGAGGGTGACGTCGCCGGCAGGAACAGGACTATGAGCTTATCGTCACCTACCAGAAGGGTCTCGGCCCTGGGTCTTGATATGATGAGTCAGTAATATGTCACCGTTCCCCTTTGCTCTAATCCCCTCAAAAAAAAAATTAATGCCCACCCTCCTTGATTTTTAATGATTTTTTTTTATCTTGTCCGTTTCTCTTTCTCTTGTATTTTTGCATAGATAACTTCTCTCCTGCATTGGTCTGCATGTGGAGTATATAGGGTTTGGAGAGACTTTTTTTTCCATCATGATTTTATTGGGGGGGGGGGGGGGAGGAAGGAAGAAAGAAAGAAGAAAGAAAACGTTGAGGATGGATATGGGATATGATCAGGGTTTTCAAAAGGACGATGAGGAAGACAGAGAGAGAAACTTGTGCGATGTGTAGGATTTAGTTGGAAATGCAATGTATCACTAGATAGTCTGGAAGAATAATGAATGACTTGAGATTGCCAGATTTTCTGTTTTCTGTAAACAGAAGTCTCGCCAACTGTCAGCTGTTATATTTTCCATCAAACACACGGTTATCGAGTGCCGCAAGTGGTAAAAAAAAAAAAAGAAATACGGTGACATTTGGTGAGCAGAGAACAGAGGCCCATAAACGTAGAATATGTACACGTAGTGACGGGAAGTCGGTAAAGATCCCCACCCCCCACTCTGCGTCTATCATCTCCCCATCACCACCCTGTTCTCCTCCCTCTTCCTCCTCTTCCCTTTTCTGACCGAGGAAACGGGAAAGAGAGGAGTCTGGATCTTCTTCTTGTCTCCCCACAGAGGAAAGTCTTCACGATGTCTTCCCTGGCACGTACACGTTCCCTACGCAAACCGAGCGCGTCGACGACGACGTCGTCGTCGACAGCAGACGCGCCTGACCGCCATGGGGCATCATCACCAAGCAGCCGGCTACCCTTCAAGCCTCTGGCGAGGAAGCCGTCATCCGGCACAGCATCATCCACTACGTCGGCTTCTGCAACAAAGATGAAGACCACGCTACCGACGGCAAAGACGATACCCAAACCAGCAGCGACAGCAACGACTGCTGGCGCTGCGAGACTGACCAGGTCGGCAACCGCTACGGCCAAGACGATGAGCATGAGAGCCCCCTCGTCCTCCAGACCCCTATCAGGCGCCATCACTTCGGCACCTGTGCTCCGGACAAGGTCGATGACGGGTCAGGCAGGAACGCCAGACACCACAGTCACCACCACCCCCACCACCCCCACGCGGTCGCGATACCCGCCGTCCACGGCCACCACGAGACCTACCGGCCCGACATCCCGGCCGACCTCGGCGGGGACAGCCAACAGTGTGTCCTCCTCTTCGACGACGACGACAGCGTCGACGACAACGTCAACAACAGCAACAGCAACAGCAGCAACAACAGCAGCAGCGGCGGCGGCGGCGGCGGCGGCGGCAGCAGCAGCAGTACCAGCAAGGCGTATACCTGCTTCCGGCGCGGCCGTCGACGGCCCGCATACACGGTCCAAGAGCGCGACTGTGCTCCGTCCACCCCCGAGGACTACCACCCCTACTGCTGCTGCTGCTACTGCTGCTGCACGCAAACCATCGGCCGATGCCAAGACTATGTCACCGTCACCTACACGAGCACTGCGGGGAACCACGGCCACGTCCACGGCCACGTCCACGGCCACGTCCACGGCACGTCCGCAGCAGCCACAGCAACAGCCGCAGCCACAGGCGAAACCCAGGCTACGACCAAACTTCTCCACCCTCCAGCAGCACTACTCGCCTGCCAAGTCGCGGGACCCCAAGCCCGCCACGGCAGCTTACCTGGCGCCGCCGTCGCCCTCCAAGCTACCGGCCAACCTTGCCGCGTCGGCCGAGACGAGCAAGCTCCAGAACGAACTCCTGCAGCTGCACCTCGTGCACCGGGAGGCAGAAGGCACGGAGGCGCAGTGGCGCGACAGCGCCAAGTCTCGTCTGGGCGAGCGCTTCGCCCGTCTCGTGGCCGACTCGGACAGCGTGACGGTTCGGGAGACGGCTGTCCTCGAACGGGAGAATGTATCCGCCCTCCTGCGGGCCTGGGGCGGTGGCAGTGTCGGGAGCAGCGCGGCCGGTCTGGAAGAAAAGTTACAGGCTCTCGACGCCGTCATGACCGGTCTGTGGACCCTCAGCGAGCCGGGGGGCCGGTACGCCAGGACGGTGCGCCGCTTCGAGCGCTGGATGGGCGAGGTCGGCGACGTAGAGGACGCCAGGAGGGCGGGCGTGTACCAGGACCGCACGCGCGACGGCGCCCCGCTGTTCGTCAGCGAGCTCGAATGTCCGTGGAAGGACGACGCCGAGGCCATGGCGCGCCGGCTCGACGGCTGGCAGCGACAGCTGGACGGGCTAGCGGTACGCCAGCCTAAGAAGGACGATGGCGACGACGGCAGGTCGCTGCGGGACTCGAGCGTCGCCAAGATGGTGCAAGGGGCTGGGCAGCTGATTCGCGGCATGCTGGCCGAGCTGGCTTTCATGCAGGCCCTCGAGGTGGATGCCCTGGCTAGGGAGGATGTATGGATCGACAGGATGAATAGGGAGGATGATGGGCGTGATAACAACCCCAAGGCTGGAGCGGTTTGGCGCCAGATATGATCCTTTTTTTTTCTCCAACTTTTTCGTTCTCTGTACATCCTACCTTTTTTTTTCTTCCTCCCCTTCCTCTTCTCCCTCCCCTTCTCGAGTCTTTGGATATATATTGAGTGAGAAGGCCTGTATTACGATGCTAGGTCTGTATCACAATCTGAACATGATTATTGTAGAAGAATAGCGTCTAGATTCTTATGTTTATACGGTACTAAACGAAAGACAGAGCAGGACTGTAGCACACATACGAGAAAGAAAAGAGAGGGAAGAAGAGTGTGTGTGTGTGTGTGTGAAGAAAAGGTACAGGTAAAACACAACAGTACGAGAGCACAGGGGAAAACTCAAAAAAATCAAAAATCAAAAATCAAAAAGTACAAAGGACATAACAGTTTCAACTTGTTTATATTGTAAGCCATGTGCTGAGCCGCGCAACAGAGGTATATGTATATATAAATATATGTAAAACGTGGGGAGAAGTGGCATTGTCACGGGGTGGTAGGCGGGGGCGTAGACGCCAACCTCTACAGGTGGCGTCTGCAGTAGCTGGGTTTGTTGATCAAGTTATTAATTTTTTGTTTGGTTTGGTTTTTTTTGTTTGGTGTATAGATGTCGAGATCTTAAAGGAAAGACCTCCTGGGAAAACCGACGCCGTCGACGGCAGGCTCGTCGACGAACCAGCTGACACGGTCACCGGCAGCCTCGTTGACGAGAGCGCAGGGGAGGCCATCATCCGAATCGAAGATGGACCTCATGATGTCCTTCTTGCCACCGCCGGTGGCGACGAAAGCGATGCGGACGGCGTGGGTGACGACGGGCAGGGTGAGGGTGATGCGGCGGGGCGGCGGCTTGGGCGAGTCGGTGATGGGGGCGACCCAGGCGTCTGCCTCGCGGAGGAGCGGGTGGCCGGGGAAGAGGGAGCAGGTATGTCCGTCGGGGCCGCAGCCGAGCAGGAGGAGGTCGAAGATGGGCAGGCGGACCGAGTCACGCGAGGCGAAGCTGCCCACGAGGGTCTTCTCGTACTGGTCGGCCAGCTCCTGGATGTCGTCGAGGTGGGCCACGTCGATGGGGTGGACGGTGGGCTTGGCATCGTCCCCGCCGGGGATCTTGTCGAGGAGCTCCGACTTGAGGAGGCCGTAGTTGGAGTCGGCGTGGTCGAGAGGCACGGCGCGCTCGTCGGCGAAGAAGATCTCCCACTTGGAGAAGTCGACGACGTCGTCCGGGCCCGAGGACGGGGCCAGCAGGGCCGCGGCGAGCGTCTTGGGGAGAGAGCCGCCCGACACAGCCACCTTGAAGGTGCCGTGGCGCTCAATACCCGCGGCTTGTCCCTGGATGATGTACGACCTCAGGGCCGCGGCCAGGGCGTCGACGCCGGGGAAAGCGTACAGGTTCGGCTGTGTCTTGGGCATGCTGGAGCTTCGCTGGGGACGCATCGGGGGTTTTTTTTTTCTTCTTCTTTATGACGTTGTCGTCTTTGTTTCTAAAAAAAAAAAAAAAGCTCTGCTTGTTCTAGGGCTTTCCTCTCATGTACTTTTGGTCTTATTCTTTTTCCCTTTGGTTCTGGTGTGGTTTGCCTTTTTCTGGGTGGTGTAGATGATTGTAGAAAGTTCCAGGCCGAGGGGTTTTACAATATGAGAGAGATAGATATTATATGGGAGGGGAAAGTCAAAGTGTGGAGGGGTCAATTCCCAAAGGAGAGGGGGGGTGCGGCCCCCACTAACGTAACGCAACACACACACATCTAATGTCATGCATGTTCAACGTCGCGATGGCACTGGAAAACGACGTCAGCCGATTATTGAATGCGCTGATATGAATAGATGATGAGCTCCCCACACTTTACATACCGTTGACACCGGAAACGAGGTAGCTTAACGAGTACAGCAGCCGTCCGTACGTAGAGGGACGGGGGAAAGTTAAAAGGCTCGACGGGTGGATGCTGTCCGGTCGGTTGATGAGGTCATGATTCTGGACATGGCTAAGCCCAGAAACCGCACTTTTCGGTTCCTTTCTGTTCTTTCTATTGGAAAAAAAAACAGCTATCCAGCCTTTCCCTTAATTCTTGCAGTCTATTCACTCTTGTTCGTCCTTCTTTCTTATCGCCTTTCCCTCGTCGCTCGGACGACCTGATGATATGATAGCTGCGATGACGTCGTGTAGGCGTAGCACGAGAATTCAGCCAGCCAGACAGAGCTCACTGCGCACTAACTGTCCCCCTCCCCTCCCCTCCTCCTCCATCGGATTCATCGTACTGTGAGAGATATCAGCCATCACACGCGATAAGTGCTTAGTGGACATCTATGCGCCTTCTTCGACTTTAAGGTCACTTAACTCGCTCGATAAGAGACCGGTAGAATACACCACCGATGGTAGGTGAAAGTATTACATTACCACCGTGGGATGACTAATCAGGCCAACTGATGTAATGAGGGGTATATACTCTAGTATGATATGTGGTAATACTATCCGTACTATCAACATCACCAGATTGACAGCGGCAAAAAAAAAAAAAAAGGCAACACAAGAAGAGCAAGCGCGAAGATCCATCATACGAGTTTTCCTTCCGACATGGCAATAGGCTATCGCTAGAAAAGTTATCTATACCGAATGCTACGTCTATGTCTAACGACAAGTCATCGGACCAACCAGTCCTTGTCCTACATGAACCCCTCCTCCCGAGTTGTACTGTACCCCTGCCGCCATTTCCGCACCCTGTCACATCAAAAAGGGAAGGATGAGATGCGAATCGAGTCCTCGAGAATGCTTCAAGTATCGGAAAGAAGGGACGGTTCACATGTTGAGCTTATAATCCGTCCATCCGTCCTGTTTGACGTCTCTTTCTCCCACCAGATGTGATAACCTTCCAATTCTGTATCCAGGAGCGGGGTGACGAAACAGACAGCCAACCACTGCCACACGTCATACTTACATATGAACGGTATGTGGCGCGCCCAGAGGAAGAGAGGAAGACGGGATGGAAGGGGGGGGGGAGGCTTGTTACATGCCAGTAGTTTCTAGCCTGGTGGTAGGTACTCTTTTGCTTTGTCAGAGGGAGGGGACCAGAGAAGCAAGTGCCGTATGGTATATATCGTGCGAGTATCGAATAGGGAAAGTCAGGAAGGAGGGAACAGAATTACTACAAGAGTAATCCAAGATAGAAAAAAAAGATGAAGAGAGAAAGAAAAAGAAGAGGTAAAAATAGAAATGAAAAGTGCCAGAAAAGACTACAGGTACGTGAAAAGGTACGTAGCGGATGCCCCGCTAATTCGTCCGAATTGTCCCCCCCCCCCCCCCCGATACATATGAACAAGAGCCCTGTTGGTCCCTGAAAACGGGGCCCGCTTGGGGTCCATCCCACCCTAAACCTCCGAGAGCCCAGCAGGGCGCCCAGCAGGGCGCCCAGCAGACGGATGGAATTGTCTCCATCCAGTTGCTGCACTTCGGAAGTCATCACCCTCAGCTGCCCTAGCTTGGAAGCTGAGCTGACCTGCCACGTACCTGTAGACCTCACTCGGCCCTGGCCAAGACCTGCCATGTTCCCCTAACCAACACCGCAGATGATACTACCAACTTCGCGAACCTCCAGGTTACGGGTGGAAAGTACGGGTGGAAACTATCAAGCAGTATCACACCCGACTACGCACCGCATCTGCAAAGCACTCGAACCCCTCCGAAGACACGAACATGATATTGCTGCTAGTACATATAGTGGGCACCGCTCACTTGCGACTTGCGACTTGCGACTCTCCTCCACCTCCTCCACCGGAGCAGTAGCTCCGGTCGTCACACGCACACTTCCCTTCTTCTATTCACCACCACACACACACACACTCACACACACACACACTTACACACACACACACTCACACACATATATATATATACATATATATTCCCGTCATCCTCTCTTCCTTCTCTTCCTTCTCACCTTCTCTCCCACTGGTGGTCCTGGACTTCTACGTCGACGTGCCGTTTGAAGCCCCACCCCACACTCCCTCTGGCTCTGCCGTACCCTATACGCCACTTGTGCATCTTCAAACTCTGCCCTGGATCTCTCTCTCGTCAACCTCGACCGCCCACCGGCTGAACAGACACCGGCCTGTGCCGTCGACGACCCTCTTCCATCAGGCCGTAGCGCATACTGCCTGCAAAGTCCACGTCTCCTCACGGGGTTTCTCTCGGCATAAAACAAGTGTCGCCCAGTGTCATATTCGAGGGAGGGGGAGGAAAGCCCGATGAAGTAGGGAGGGTCGAGAAGAAGAAGAAGAAGAAAGAAATCAGAGAAGAGAGGCAAGGAAAAGGGACGGAAGCACGCAAGATGGAACAGGAGGACGATGGCCGACGTCAGGAGATGCTCTCCCATCGATCTCACCTGACCGACTCCCTCGTCGGGGATCCGTACAATGTCATCCTGTACCTTGAGCGCGCAGTCCTCTACTCAGACCTGGGCTACCCGGACCTGGCCGCTGGAGATGCTTACCGAGCCCTGCTCCTCACAGACGAGATTGCCGACGAGGGCCTCGAATACAACGAGCGGGCCTCGAACGCATTGAGAACCTACCTCGGCCGCGACACACCCGGTGTGCTCGACTTTGGGAACCTCCTGGCCGAGTGGCAGGAGGCCCAGTCCGACCCGGACAGCCACGGCGGCGACGACGAGAGCCGGCAGCTGCGACGGCTGGGTTCCCTGGCCTCCATAAGGTCCTTCCAGATACTGTCCCTCAGCCTCCTGCTGTGCGGCTGCCTCAAGAGCGCCGCCACGTTCTGCCACCGTGGTCTCCAGCTCGTCCCCACCAACCAGGAGCTGCTCAACTACAAGGGCCACATCAACACCTTCGCCACCCGTAAACTCGGCCGCCCGGACTTTGACATCAACGAACTCTCTGACCAGGGCCTCGTACGCCGTGAGGTCTACCCGTGGAACCATCATGAGCCCGATCGATTCTCCGCCGAGTCCCTGGAGACCCTCAACAGCCACCTGCGCCCCATGGCGCCCAAGTGTGAGGTCCAGGTCGCCACGCTGCCCGTGCTGCTTGACGGGGCATCCGACACGGACCATTACGACATCATCCCCATGTGCAAGCAGCTGGGCCTCTTTGCCACCGAGGACATCGAGCCCGGCGAGGTTGTGCTGCGCGAGTACTCGCTCCTGACGGCCAACAACCGACTCAAGGACTCTGTCTGCGACGCCTGCAGCTCCGACCTGCCGGTCCTCGGAGCCGAGGAGCAGGCCGTCAGCTGTGACGAGTGCATGGACACGGTCTTCTGCAGCCAGGCGTGCCACGACCAGGCCCAGGACCGCTATCACCCGGCCGTGTGCGACAAGGACGTCGACGCCATCGCCAAGGACCCGAGCGCCCTCGAGGCCGACCAGACGCTGTACCTGCTCCTGCTGGCACGCGTGCTCGCCATCGCCGCCACCCAGGAGAGCCACCCGCTAGACGTGCGCGAGGTACAGTTCATCTGGGGCGACTTCGTGCCCTCGAGCGAGAACGACATCGACCCTTCTCCCAACGCCGGCCCGTCGCCCCAGTGGACCCTGCCCTTCTCCTTCAAGTACAACATCGAGACGCCGCTCCACATCCTCGAGAAGATGGACATCGACATCTTCGCCTCCCTGGAGGACTACGACCTGTGGGTCCTCAACACCCTGTACGCCAAGTTCCGCGGCACTGCCTCTGCCCGTAAAAGCCTCCGAGACGGCCGACCCGACGTCGCCGCCGTCCACCCATACTGGTGTCTGGCCAACCACGACTGCGACCCAAATGTTACGTGGGACTGGGGCGGCCACATGGTCTTGTGGGCGCGGGAGGAGCGCATCGTCGGTCCCAGGAGGGGAGGTATCGCCAAGGGCGAGGAGATCCTCAACCACTACTGCGACATCAACCTTCCCGTCGACCAGAGACGGGAGTGGGCAAGTGGTAGTCTGGGCGGTTGGTGCATGTGCAAGAGGTGCAGGGATGAGGCGGCGGAGACGTCGACGAATGGTCACGCGATGCAGAATGGTGACTCGGCATAGTTTGCTTCTATCCTCACCTTTTTTTCTTTTCTTTTTCTTTTTGTTGTTTTGGTTTTTCTTTGCTGAATACCCCCCCCCCCCCCCCCCCCCCCCCCCCCCCCCCCCCCCCCCCCCCCCCCCCCCCCCCCTCTCCCTCTCCCCACCTATCTCCACTCAATACACGCTCTCAATACCCAAGTAACATAATTGTTGTATATATATATATATATATTCACGGGACCTCTTTCTATCTCTGCAACTCGAGATGTCGAAATGTCGAAGCCATGCGTCGGAAGGAGTATTATGAATGGTTTCTTATATATCTTTTTTTTTTCATTCTTATTAGATCATGTTACATGTAGTACTGATATAAACGCATCATGATTAGAAATCCATTTTAAATTTTTTTCCCTTCTATTTCTGTGTTCTACTAAATATGTAATGTGGTCTTTTGAAGAAGACAGAAAGCATACATCATATATATATCATATATATATATATATATATAGATGTACGAGTAATATAATATATTCTGGAAGAAAGTGGATCCCCCCACTCTCCAACGACCTCCTCACTTAGACCCAGGCAACGGTCTAGGGCCGACAATCTGCCTCCTCCCCGCGCCGATGCCCTGCCCGCCCCTGTTCTGCGAGTCGCCGCCCGTGAAGCCGGTCCACTGCGATACGTCCCACCGTCCGCCGACGGCACCGCCGTCTCCCGTCCGTGCGGCGGCCGCCGTCTCGCGCTGGGCCTCCTCCCACTCCTTCTGACGCTGGCGCTCCATCTCCATCTCCCGCTCGAGGAGGGACTTCTTTGCCGGGGCGGCCTGCTTCTGGGGTGGCGAGGGCGTAGATGTACTGCCACCGCCGCCACTGCCGCCACCGCCGCCGCGGATGCTGTTCTGGGGGGAAGAGCTCAGCCATCGGGCGCGGCTTGCCGCGGTGGCGGGGGGTGATGTCGCGGTGGCGGGGGATGGCTTGGGTGGCTTCTGCGGAGGAGGGGAGGACACCTGGTTGGCGTGGCGGTGGCGGTACTGCGTCGGGTCGGGGAGGGGACGGCTCGTGCCGCTTCCACCGGTGTTGTGGCTCTGGACGGCGGCCGGCAGCGTCGGGGGCGACGAGGCCAGGGCCGGGTTGGGCAGGGGCCGGGGCGACAGGGCCGCTGCCGAAGACGAGGCTGACAGGGCCGAGGTCTCAGGGCTACGCTCCTCGATGGCGGCCGCTTCCATCCTGCGACGAAGATCTTCGGCCTCCTCCTGCACCCTGGCCTCGTCGTGGTGGTTCCTCCACGCCGTCGAGAGCACCTCTCGCTCGCCCTTGACGTACGAGTCCTGCCGGGTGGGCTCGCCGGCCGCGCGGCTCCTGGACCGGGCGCGCGACCGGGCGCGGGCCGCCGCATCCGGATCCGCGGCCGCCTTGCGCGGCCGCCCGTCGCGCTCCTGCCTCTCGCGCTCGTACTCGGCCTCGCGCTGCCGCGCCAGCTCCAGCTCCCGCTCCAGCTCCTTGACCCGGCTGCCGTAGTCGGTCGTCGAGCTCGGCTGAGATGACAGACCGGCGTTCTCCACCTTGTGCTGGCCGGAAAACTTCCCGCGCAGTCGCGCGTCGCCGGTGTTGCGCGACTGGCTACGCTCCTGCTCCAGCCGCGCGTCGGCCTCGGCCTCCTCCCTGCGCCGGAGCTCCTCCGTCGCCTGCCACTGCCTCTCCTCTTCTTCCCACCGGAGCCTCTCCTCCTCGGCGCGCCGACGCTCCTCCTCGCGCTGTCGCGTCGTCTCCTCCTCCCAGCGCCTCTCCTCCTCGAGCCGCGCGCGCTCCTCCTCCTCCAGCTCGGCCAGGCGCCGCCGCTCCTCCTCCTTCTCCTCCGCCTCCCGCCTCGCGCGCTCCTCCTCCGCCTCGGCTTCGCGCCTCGCGCGCTCCTTGTCCGCCAGGCTGGGCACCTGCGGCGTGGCCGTGGTGATCTGCCGGCGGGCGCCGAATGCGATGCCCAGGTTGCCTTGGCTGGCGCCGCCCATGTAGCCGTACTGGGCAATGTTCCAGGCCGGCGACGTGGCGCTCTCGTGCTCCTTCCTGCTCCAGCTGCTGACGTTGCTGTCCGTCGGGCTCTTGGTGGGGCTCTGCCGGCCGCCTCCGGCCGAGTTGCCCGTGCGCGAGGGGAACAAGGGCTTGGTGCCGGTGCCGATGCCGATGCCAGTGCCGGTACCCCGGTAGGCCGAAGGCGTGTTGCTCGCGACAGAGGCACCGCGGTCGCGCGTGTTTCTGGGGGTGGAGGGCCCCGTGGCCTGGGGGCTCATGGTGCTGCCCCCCGTCGGCGTCGACTTGGGTCCGATGGCTTCGGGGAACTGAGCCGGCTTGGCGGCGTGGGCGGCACGGCTGAAGGCGCCCAGGCACTGGAGCACCTGCGCCGGGTCCTTTTGCTCGTAGAGGTCGACGGTGAGGAATGTGTCGTGCTGGTGGAGGTTGAGGGGCGGCTGCTGGCATGCGCGCAGGAAGATGGAGATGTTTTCCATCTGGACGAACGGCATGGCCGACTTCTTGAACCTGACCGACTGGGGGGCGATGGCGAGGTTGACGAGCCTGCGCAGTAGAAAGGGGTGGTCCGGGTTAGCAGAGCAGGCAAGGAGGGAAGAGAAGGGAGAGAAGGTGGTCCGTACTTGCACAGGGCGAGGCCATCCTTCAGTCCCTCCAGGAGGTCAGAGGACGGGAGCCTCTCGCCGAGGACATTCTCTATCCAGCTTCGAGCCTCGTTGGCGGCGGCGGGCGTATATTTATCGCGGCGCGCCTTGCGCAGATCCTTGTCGAGTGACGTTACGGAGGCCATTTCTTATCCTCTGCTCTGTCGGGGGAAAGGTCGTGGTCGTCGTGGTCGTCGTCCTCGATGAGCTATCTTGCTTGCCGTCCCTCTCACACGCGATGCTTCGGAGGAAGAGGGAGAAAGCAGACGTGCCGGGGGGGGAACTACCTATTTCTTCGTCGCAAAGAGAGGCCAAGCCGATGATGGCGGGGATTTCTATTTGTCTCGGGGCCCAACTGGCATGCAGTGCATAGCACACACCATCAGCTCTCGTAGCGGCTAAAACAGTCCAAGAAGTTCCAGTCGAGACTGGAGAATCTGGTATTATGAGGAAATATTTCTTGTGGTAAATATTAAGATCAAGAACAATTGATGTCTCACCAACGAGGTGGGTGGGGTGGGGGGGGGGCGTGCGCGCGTGTGCGTGTGCGTGTGCGTGTGCGTGCGTGTGTGTATGCCCTTCTTTCTCTTCCCTGCAGAGGAGGGGGAGAGCCGGGACTGCCTAGGGGGCCTCTTCTGGTGTTTACATATGTGTCGTTTCGGTGGGGCATCGACGGCGGCGGCGGGCATTACGGATGTGATCAAGGATCAATGCCCGCCATTATGCTGTTGACGTAGCATTTTCATGGAATCCCGCCCCCCCGCTCCCCTCTCTTACCCCGGGAGGGTTGAGCTATTAATTACTTGTAATAATAATGTACCGACAAGAGTTATGTGGCTGGTGCATGACATTGTGGCTGGATAGCAGTTTTGTCATGTGGCGCACCGGTCTCTCCATTATCCAACCAAATCTCAAGAAGAGGACGCTTACGAGCAGAAGTGCAAGCGTGCGCCGCGGGGACCCCATGGAGCATTGACGAGCTCCGCATCTTAGCATCTTAGTAGTGAAATTACTACTTACATATATAGTGGCAGTATTCCACTCCGTACCATTCGACATCGCACATAGCATCAATGTCTCCTCTCACCACCATCGGTCCCGTGACGAGGGCATGGTACCGATGGAAGGCCCTCCGTCTACCATGGCGCAGGCAGTTCCTCGTCGGTACGTTCCAATCTCGCTGTCCGTCGACAAGTCGTACGACTCGACACTGACACGTCAGCTGCCAGGCATCGACCTCCAGGGCAACACATTCTGGGAGTTCCGCCTGGCAGGGACTTCCAGCTCCGACCGCTTGCGCCGCATAGTCAGGTACCCGCGGTCGACGCACTACTCCGAGGTGCGCATCACGCCCCAGTGGCACCAGTGGCTGCGGTACACGCGGGAGGATCCGCCCTCCGTGGCCGAGCAGCGCACCGACGTCGCGCGCCAGGAGCGCATCAGGGAGCTCGCCGCCCAGGCCGATGCGCGGTGGGAGGCCAAGCCCAGACTCGCCGGGCACGATGAGACGACCAGGCAGGAACTTCAGCAGCAGCAGAAGCAGCAGCAGCGGGCAGTCCTCGGGGGCGACAAGACGACGACGACGACGACGACCGAAATTCCTGACATCAGCAATACCGCTACGGCTACCGATCTCGATGCGAATCCGAATACAGACAGCGCTCCGGGAGAGACGATGAAGAAGAAGAAGAGCAAGAGGAAGGGTGTGCAGGCCAATCCTGACCCGTGGGCTAAAGCCAAGGCCTCCGGTCCGAGTGAGACGTGGCAGCCACAGGCTTGGTCTCCTACGCCGCGAAAGAAGTAATGAGACACTTTGTCAGATATGTAATATTAGATGGTAGGAAGGGAGAAGGGGGCGTGCCAATCATGTAAACCCATACGCAGGCCTATCTATCCCCCTTTTTTTTTTTTGGGGGGGGGGGGGGGGGGGTGATGGTAATCTAGCGAAATCAAAACCGCAACGCCAAAGATATCAAATTCGAGTCTTCCATGTTCCACCCATTCCCATAAAAACGCCGTCGTCAGCATGGAGGAGTTCCGTCAGGCAAGTACAAGATGTCGAAAACGATGATTTCAGTACCGCAAGTGTCTTTTAGTCAACGGCAGTAGTAGCCGTGGCCTTCATCACCTCGAGGAGCAGACGCAGCCTCTCGGACGAGCTGCTCAGGACCTCGTGGGCCAGGATGTCGCCCGGGTCCATCCTGGCCTTCGTAGCAGACCTCTTCTTCTTCGTCTTTGCTTCGCGGGCCTCGATGCCCCTCTCGATAGCCTGGCCCAGGAGCTCGGTGTACTCGACCGCCCCGCAGCGCCAGAGCAGCTGAACGGCGCTCTCGGTGACGAGGGACAGCTTGGCGTTGTCGTCGGCGGCGACCGTATTGGCCGGGTACGGAGCGAAGCATTCCCGCAGCATGGGTGGCGTGATGGCGCCGGCATCCTCGGCGTCCGGGTCGACCCTGGCGGGCTTCCGGTGCGACGCGGGCAGGAGCAGGGCGAAGAGCTCCTTGAGAAGGGTGACGTGGGCCTCGGGCGGGAGCGGGTTGGACCGCTGGCTGACGATGAGCGAGAAGAGCGGGAGGGGCGCGAGCTTGAGCGCCGACGCCAGGTCCGAGTACAGGTCGTCGAGCTCGCCGCGCCGGCCCATGGTGTGGGTGGCCAGCGAGACGAGGCGGAAGAGGCGCAGGCGGACCCACACCGATTCCACCAGGCCCGGGTGGTCGAGGCCGACCTGCTCGGCGTCGTCGTCCCCGGGGCCCGTCGCCGCCGTGCGCTCGTCCGGCCCCCTCTTCTTCTGCGGCGTCGACGGCTCCGACTGCCCCGAAGACGCGCACTCGTCCTCGTCGTCGACCAGGTAGTCGCCGAACTCGTCGTTCTCGAGATCGAGCGTCTCGCGCTTGCGTTTCCGCGACGACGATGACGATGACGGTTTCTTCCTCTTCGGCCCGCGCGTCTCCTTGTCAAACACCTCGCGGAAGGCGGCCGACGAGATGGGACCACCGTCAGCCAGCAGCGCCTTGATCACGGCCTTGAAGCTGCCCCTCCGCCCGGTCTGCTGGTCCAGGTACATGGTCACGATGGACTCCCGGCGCGCCGTCACGGGCACGTCGCCGGTCGTGCCGGCCGCCTGGTGGGCCTCGGCGTCCAGCCGCTCGCGCTCTTCCCAGTCCTTGTCCATGGCGTCGAGCATCAGGTCCAGCCAGGCCTTCCAGTACGTCCAGCGCCGCGGGTGCAGCACGCTGCAGTTCATGGCCCAGCCCAGCACCGACCAGAAGTCCTGCCCGCGGCTCCACAAGCTGCTGTCGTTGGCCAGCCGGCCCGACAGCCTGTCCTCGTCGCCGGCGTGGTTGCCCTGGTCGCTGTCGTCGCTGTGGTCCGACGGCTGGCTGTCGTTGCCGTGGCCGCGGTGCCCGGACCGGCGGCTCCATCGGCGGAACTGCACCGCCGTGCGGATGTCGGCCTTTACGGGGCCGACGACGGACACGACCCCGCGCAGGTACGCGAGCGCCTGCACCGCCACGTCGAGCTCGTCGGCGCTGCGCGCGCGTGTCGTGTAGGTCGGGTGGACGGTCAGGGTGCCGAGGAGGGCGAGGTGGCTTGCCGGAGGGATCAGTACGGGGCGCTTCGTCGACGAGGACGACGACATTTTGGTGATGCGACGCGAAGACGACGACGACGACGACGACAATGACGACGACGAGCCGGCACCTAGGACGCTACCTAACAGCTGGATGGCGCATGTGTCTTCAGTCGTTTCTGGTCAGCAAAACAGAGAGCTGTATCCTTTCGTTGGGTCATCGGAGCATCGGCCGACGTACAGAGCTGCTCTTCGAGAAAGATCTGACAGTGCTGCCTCAGCTCGCGTGGCAGCGGCCGTGCGCTCCGGTACGGGAAGAGATGTGTGTGGACGGGGCTGCTGGCCGCCGTCGAGTTGTCCTCGCCATCCGGGGCCGAGTAGAAGGACGTCGACTGCGATAGAGGGGTCGGAGGCGATGATGAGCTCATGACGGAGAGCGGCCTGCAGCTTTCTCTTCTGATCTTCCGCTACAGCTCTTCTCCTCTCCTATCGAGTGCGACACCGTCAGGGGCGAAGGGTGAGATGTTTATGTGCGGATATCTGCATGTGGGTTGGCTGGCATTCGGTCGTTGGCTGTTGGCTGTTGGCTGTTGGCTGTTGGCTGTTGGTTGTCGGTTGTTGGTTGTCGGGTGGTATTATGCACTGTCGTCTATATCATGATTGATTATTACCATGTAGCGGAGGAAGGAGAAGGGAAAGAGGGCGAAAAGCCAATCGTTTACTCTGTGGTCGTATTACTAGTTCCACGGGAGATGTCAGCTGAGGTAAAGTACCGAGTACATTAAAGGGCTATGATGTGTAGAGCGTCCTACATACAAATCACTGCCAGATATGAGTAGCTGGTACTGGTGACGCAACTCGGACTTCAGTCTCCGGCCCCCGCGCGTGTACCTTTGAATGGATATGGAGACGCGATACGCGGAGAGGCGCGTCACCAGCTCTCACTTCCAGCTCTTTTTCTTCTTCTTCTTTTTTTTTTCTTTTTTTCCACTACGAGGCAACCGAGATGGCACGTGTATAGAGAGTGCATACTTATACTTACCGGGAGGAGGGGAAACAGTATGTTGCAGCTCGTTGCTACGTCGATGCAGAGCATGTCTCCGCCCCGACATATCACCACATGTTCTACAGCACTTCTAGAGCAGCCCCCCCCCCCCCCCAAAGGGTGTCTGACCAGTCTCTACATGTACAGTTCGACCGTTGCCAGGCGGCGCCTAAGCTGTACGTACGTGTCTTCGATGCTCTCACGGGTAATAAGGGAGTCAGGTTGATCTTAATATATATATATATATATATATGTGTGTGTGTGCGTGTGTGTGTGTGTGTAGTAGTAGTAGTAGTAGTAGTAGTAGTAGTAGATTACCATTATGCATCATGCTCTAACGACTGACCGATATCATGTCCACCTGTACTCTATATATGCCGGGTATCATATTCACAGTCTCATCTCAAAGTGCTCTCTCTCCTCGGTCTCTGCGGACAGGGCAAGATGAAGGCACTCCTCTTCTCCCCAGTATCGTACCAGTCTGTCAAACTGAGAAGAAGATTCACATATAGCAGAGCAAGAAGAAGAAAAGTCCTCGAGAGAATAGAAAAAAGAAAAAAGAAAAAAAAAGGTCACCGGAACGCCAAGACATGCAAAGAGGTCAGGACAGGAAAAGAGAAAGGAGCGATCTTTTCTCTCTCTCTCTCTCTCTCTCTCTCTCTCTCTCTCTCTCCCTCCCTGTCCGACACGCTCTAGTGAGCAACGTGGGCATTGCTCTGGGTCCTAACCATCTCAACCTCAGCCAAGGTCTCGGACTCGCCGGGGGGAGCCCTGCGGCTGCGCATCTGCTTGAGGAGGGCGGCGGCCTCGGCAGTGTACTTGCACCTGGCGCGGATGGCGGGGCCGTAGCGGTAGAAGAGGAAGGGGCAGGGTATGCAGGCGACGGCGAGGAAGGCGGGTATGGAGCTGGCCCAGTGGATGCCGAGGTCCTCGTACATGTAGGTGGTGAAGAGGGGGAAGGCGCAGCCGAAGAGGGAGCGGAGGACGGAGTTGGCGGCCAGGACGGAGGCGGCGTAGATGACGTAGGAGTCGATCATGTAGGTCATGAGCGAGAGGAAGACGAGGACGATGCCGCCGCCGAAGACGGCCGAGCCGACGATGGAGACGGCCCAGTGGATGTCGGGCCCGTTCGTCCACGCGAACCAGAACATGCCGACCGGGATGAGGAAGGAGCCGACGATGGCCGGGGGCAGGCGGGCCTCGGGGGGCGCGGCACCGCCGGCGGCGGCGGCGACGCGGGCGTAGCGCTTGTTGTTGTCGACGGTGGTGCTGAGGGTGGCGATGGTCATGCCGACGGCCAGGCCGATGAAGGCGAGGCCGCCGATGCCGGGGCTCCAGCCGCGGACCTGCTGGAAGACGATGGGGAAGGCGGCGAAGCAGAGGTACAGGGTGCCGTAGATGATGGCCATGTAGATGGACAGCAGCAGCACGATGGGCTCGGTGAAGAGCAGGACGAGGGGCCGCGAGAGGGCCAGGCGGAAGCGGTCGGCGACCGTCTTGCGCGGCATGCCGGCCTCGAGCTTGGAGACGTAGACCTGGCCGGTCCGGCTGGACAGCTCGGCGGCGCGGCGCTGGAGCAGGACGGGGGCGTAGGTCTCGGGGTAGCAGACGGTGTTGACGATCCACATGACGCCGGTGAAGATGGCGATCATGCCCTCGACCCAGCGCCAGCCGGCGTGCTCGCCCAGGAAGCCGCCGGCGATGGGGCCGATGCTGGGGCCGAGGAAGGGCGCCATGGCGAAGACGCCGGTGGCCTGGCCGATCTGGTTGGGGCCGAAGATGTCGGCGATGACGCCGCCCGAGTTGGTCAGCGGCGACGAGCCGAAGGCGCCGGCGAAGAAGCGCAGCAGGATGAGCGTCTCGATGTTCTCGGCCCCGGCCGTGCCGGCGTTGAAGGCGGTCAGCGCCATGTAGGTGACGAAGAAGGTCTTCTGCCGCCCGTACGTCTCCGACAGCGGGGCCCACAGCAGCGGGCCGATGGCGAAGCCGAGGACGAACATGGAGACGCCCAGGATGGAGACCTCCTTGGAGATGCCGAACTCGACGATGACCTCGCTCACGCCGCCCGAGTAGGCCGAGCTGGCAAAGGCCACCGAGAGCGTGGCCAGCGCCTGGACGACGGTGATGAACCACTTGCGCGACAGCGACATGTTCATGCCGTTGTACGGGTCGTCCTCGACGAACTCGACGAGGTAGGGGGACTCCTCCGTCCCGTGCCCGGCATACTTGTGGTTGAGGACCGCTTCCGTCACGCCGGCCTGGTCAGTCAGTCGTCGGAGGTAGGTGACCTTGGTCGGGGCCGAGATGCGCTGGGATTCCTGGTCACCTGGGGCGGTGGTCGAGTTGGTCGACGCCGACGATGAGGCTGTCGCCGTCATTTTCTTTTTCTTCTTTTTTTTTTGTTTTTTTTTTTTTTYTTTTTGGAAAAAGATCTCGCGATGCTTTTCCTGTTACGTAGTATCCTATATGAAGAGAAGAAGAGGTGATTTTTGCCGTCGTGTTACCGTATTGGCGAAATCTTGGAATCGGAGAGAGGGTATCCCGATGTGTCGGTTGATGAGAGAGAGTGCGAGCGTGGTATGTGTGTGTGTGAGAGAGTGTATGTGTGAGAGAGAGAGAGTCGATGTATCAGAAGATGAATCGTCCAGGGGGGGGGGGGGGTTCCGGCAGCTAGATAACAATGTTTTTTGTTGCTGTAGTAGAGAGTAGAAGCAGGACATAATATAGATTACGGAGTTCCGGTCCAGAAAATCTTTCTGCCCTCTTGGCCGAGGAACGTGCACGCTCCATAATCCATAATCCGACTGGGGGGGGGGGGGGGGGGGGGGGGGGGGGGGGGGGGGGGGGGGGGGGGGGGGGGGGGGGGGGGTAAGGTATCCACTTTACCGGGAAAGGGTACCGATAACATACAATGTACGGCGGGGGCTTTAACTATTACGGGTTACTCCGTCTTAGGCACCGAATAAGCGCTTGTTTTCTTCTGTGCTACTGATAATGTATTGTATGTACGGAGTACGGATAGGAAAGTAGTATCATTACGAGCCAACCGATATGATTCCGTAGCTATGACCGTGTGACGCCGCGACGCGATCGACGAGCCTCGGCACACTTTTTTTTTCTTCTTTTTTTCCCTTCTTCTAATTCATTTCCTTTTTTCTTTTCTTTCTCTCCTTGTTTCAAAAGAAGAGAAGAAGAAAAAAACTTGGTGTGTACGAGTATCTGTGATATCCTTTCTCTCTCTCTCTCTCTCCGTCTGTCTCTCGTAGAGATAATTTGTCATCACAGCAGGTACAGATTACATGTAGCACCTTCGTCCTCTTCCTTTTCATCCGTTTATCTGATCAGCCGTTCTGATCGGTCGAGTCATCATCACCTTGTTCCACATCCCAAAAGTAGAACAGATCATCTTGCTAAGACCTCTCTTGTCACCTCTTTTGCCTTCTCCACCCTTCACGGAACCTTCCCGATCACTCCTTCTAGACGTCTTCTCTCTCTCTCTCTCTCTCTCTCTCTCCATGATCCGTGAGGCGACAGGGTAACATTTATCGTCATAATGTTATTTTTTCATTCAAGGGAAAGACCAGTAAAAGAGTATGACGGGGGGGGGGGGGGGGGGGGAAGGGAGGGGGGATGGGCGGAAAGTGCCCGCGCTGCTTTAATACGCGGGCGGCGTAGTGACAACAGTTTACTCGTAGGCGTAATGGGCAGGTGCCACACAGATGATTGCTTCCATCTTCTTGCCTTTCTACATCGCAACAGCAATAATATTTCGAGATGAAATCTGAGGATGATGCCGACCGGTTTCATCCAAGGCTATTGTCGACGTCACTGGTAACAATGAGAAGATGGATCTTCCTCGGTCAGGAGCTGGACGGATCTCACCATACATTCTTCTCTGCAATATCTCGCAAAAGCGAAAATCTCACTTGATATCAAGACGTCCACGGCCTTCAATACCAACACATGACATAATACGCATCGAGTGTTCTACCCCTCATGCAGGGACCCCGTGATATCGGTAGCTTCACGCTTGCATTGCCGCTCACAGCGAATCTCCCATCCAAGAGATACACAGCAGAGGAACAGGCCACCCGAAGGCGCGTACCATCGATGCATCTATCTGTGCGGCCGCTGACCCTATCAGTGCCTCGGGCTCCACCATCAAACCAGACATGGACCGCAAGAACCGGATGCGAGTCATCGTCGTGATCGATCCTGTTCACCGATCCTTCTCATTTTTTTAAAACCCGCCCATCGAATATCAGAACACGTGCTCTGTAGTCCCGAGACCGTACCGTCCTGTCCGCAAAAGTTGGGGTTATGAGCACCAAAGGGGCTCTATTCAGGACCAAGCTCGGCAACGAGGTCGGGTTCCCGGTGGGCGGCGGTCTAACATATTGAAATCAAAGGGATGGCTTTCGAGCGCAGATCATGGTGCTGGTATTGATCTAAAAGTGGATAGTACGTCAAAAAGGTGTTTCTATTTTATGTATCCTACCCTCGTAAAAGAAGGAAGAGACCGAAAAAAAAAAAAAAGAAGAAGGAGGAGGAATCTAATAAACACGAGAGTGCATCAGTCCAAGTTGGGGCGGGGGGTGGAAGGAAAAATGCGAGAATGGAAAAAAAAAGAAAAAAAAAGACAACGACCCTCCTCTAATGAGGTTGAAATCGTATCTTCTTCCCTAGCCGATGCGCCCAACACATGGGGGCCGTAGGGAAGAGAAGTAGGTGAATGGAAGATGGTCCAGGCCATTGGAAGATATTGACGAGATAAGAATAGAACAAGAACAGGGCAAGAAGAAGAATAGATGTCGGAAAATACGGTGGGTTGTGAGGAGAAATCATTCATGTGCTCTGCCTCCAACCGGTGAAACATGGTGACAACATGATGACATCAGTAGAAAGGAAGATCAAACGATTCAGAAGGGAACAGCAACAACAACAACGACGACGACGACGACGGGCCGAACAGAGTCGAGATAGCAAAAAAAGAATCACTAGTGACTCCCATGGTGGTGACGGTGGAAGTGACCCCGACGGAACTTGGCGCTCCTCCTCTCGGGGACGTCTGTAGCCACAGCGTAGACTTCGGTGGTGACGGTCTCCGTGACCCAGACCGTCTCGACGACGACGTCGGCGGGGGGGGAGTCGCTGTCCACGACGGGAACGGCGGCAGTCGCGGCAGCGGCAGCCTCGGAGGTGATGGACACCTTGACGGTGGTGGTGGCAAGCTTCCTGGTGGACGCCTCCTCCGTGGGGGAAGACCCTTGCTCCTGGGCGGCGTTGATGACGGCAGCGGCGGTGGAGGAGGAGGAGGAAGCGGCGGCGAGGACGGCGTCGGGCTCTGCGGGGGACGAGACGGCGGCAGCAGCAGAAGAGGCAGCGGCAGAAGCGGCAGGAGAAGAGGAAGGCAGGTCCGAGGCACCGTAGGACCAGCCGGAGATCTTCATGCCACCGGGGAGACGGCTGAGGGTGCCGTCGACCTGCTCGTCGACGTCGGACTCGACGGTGCAGCTCTCGGTGTTGAGGCCGTCGAGGCCGGGGCACGTGTCCATGCCCGAGGTGCCGGCGTCGCAGGTGTCGATGATGTGCTGGAGGAGGTCCTCGTCCCAGGCGGCGAAGAAGTCGGCGTGGGAGCTGAAGCCGGTGGCGTCGCCGTTGGACAGGACGAAGGGCTGGGTGCCCTGGCCGGGGGTCCAGCGGTCGGCGAAGTCGGCCGTGCTCCAGTAGACCTCGAAGAAGAGGTGGGGGGTGTGGACCCAGCCGTCCGGGCAGTTGACCTTGCCGGTGGAGGGGTCGGTGGTGGGCCAGCCCATGTTGGTCTCGTAGGCGGCCAGGCCGGCGGACGGGTCGTAGCAGGAGGGGAAGTGGACGTCCGCGCGGAGCGGGGAGTACAGCCCGTCGCAGTTGACGTCGGGGAAGCCCACGCCCTCGCCCTTGTTGACGGGGTCGCCGATGCCGGCCGTGGTGCCGTCCGAGTCCGCGGGCCAGGAAGGCGGGTCGTAGTTGCCGTTCAGGCGGGGGCAGGTCCACTTGACGTTGACGATGTCGCCGCTGTCGGGGTTCAGGTTGGTGGCCGAGCTGCCGGGGGCGGTGCGCGTGTTGGGGTCGCCGGCCACCATGCGGAGCCCCTTGGGGAAGGCGGTGATGTCGTCGTCGGACTGCTCGAAGAAGTAGTAGACGTTGACGTAGTCGACCTCGACGCTCTCAAAGGTCCCGGCGTCGCCGTCGTGGAAGTACAGGGACGGGAACCAGTAGGCGCTGTTGTCGCCCCTGACCATGGCGTTGCTGCACCTGGAGCTGTCCAGGTCCTCGGCCGTGGCGTTGGAGCTGAAGCCGCTGCCGCCCATGATGTTGTGGACGTGCTGCGAGGCCACGCCGGGGGAGACGATGGGGTCCATGCGTCCTCTCGTCAGGGCCTTGTTGGTGAACCGGAGGACGGCAAAGGTGGTCTCATCCTTGGAGGCCTCGGCCGGGTTGACGAGGTAGGGGATGAGTGCCGCCAAGGCGGTGGAGGGAGCGTAGTTGATCTTCATCTTGCGTCGTCTCTTGCCTCGAACACCTTGCTGATCTCTCCTGGGTCCTTGATGTCGCTATCGTTGTCTATTGTACAAGTCACCAGGACTTGAGGAGGAGAGTTCTTCTCTTCTTGTCACATACACCAGCACACACACACACACACACACAACGTCTTGTCTTGCCCGAGACTTTTATAGAGAAGAAGAAGAAGAAGAAGAGAGGAGCAAAAAGAAGGAATGTCCTGCCTTAAGAATGGAAAATGAGGGAAGGTATGTGTTGAATCAGTTCTAGCCTGGGTGGAAAGAGAAGGGATTTTTTTTTCCAAAAAAGAAAGAAAAGAAAAGAGAGAGAATGGAGAAGTGATCGTGAGAGAAGAGGATGCTCAGATGCTCAGCAACTCTGAACTATGCCTACTCCAGGAATGAAGGTTGAGGGAAGAAGAGAAGAATGAGAGAGAGGGAGAGGGAGGGAGAGAGGGAGGGAAACGACGTGAGAGAAAAAAGAAAGAAAGGATACTGCTGATATCTAAAAGTAAGGGAAACGACGAGAGGAGGGGGAGAGGGGTGGCACAAAGAATGGGAGAAGGGGGTGAAGGTGCCTCGTACTCATGGCCAACGCACGGGCGCTTCCAGATTTTCCAGATTCCAGACCGGACAGATTCTTGGTCAAGGTCGCTCCTCTCACGACCAGAA